ATCATCATTATGATGGTAATAGCAATAATCATCATCGCCATCACCAATGTCGTCATTATCATCACCATAATCATCATCACCCTAATCATCATCACCGTAGTTATCATCATCATCACCCATTATCATCGCCCATCATCATCATCACCCATCATCATCACCTATCATCATCATCGTAGTTATCGTCATCATCCCCCATCATCATCACCCATCATCATCACCGTCGTTATCACCATATCGCCACCCCCGCTGGGACGGGGTGAGCGAACCACCATCCCTCGCTCTGCCCCCTCTCACGAGAGGACTCCGCTCTGCCAAGCGTGCCCCCCGCAGCCCCCCACTCGCGACCACGAAACTCACACAAAGACAAAGATCCCCCGTCTAGCCTCAACAGATATTTGGGACAAGTGCTGTGAGCGAGCAGCACCTATGAGCACCGCGAGGCGGTGGGAGTCCTACCCTACACCCAGACGCCTTTGTCTCCCCGGTTCTGATACCTACTACACACCGCACCGGTGCTCATTATGAAGCCGAGTCGACCCTGCGGTCGATGTCGCGAGCTGGACTCGAACTCCGTCGCTTAGTGCGCTACCCACCGCGCCACCAAGTTGCAATGTCCTACACCCACTTACCATCACAACGCCACATCATCATCATCCTTGTCTCTCTACCCCCAAGCTCTTACAACAACAACAATCTCTCTCTCGTCATCGATGGCAACGTCGACCACGGGAGTTGCTGTCTGTTGCTTGCCCGCCTGACGTGTTGGGGACATTTTTAAAAAAAACTGTTCAATTCACACCGTTCCTCGTGCTATGCGGCAGCGCCATCTGCAGTTGAGAAGGGTCGTGCCACTGATGTCTATGGGTAGTTTTAAGTCTTATGGGCAGTGTTGAGTCTATGGGCAGTGTTGAGTATATAGGTAGTGTTGAGTATATGGGTAGTGTTGAGTATATGGGCAGTGTTGAGTATATGGGTAGTGTTGAGTATATGGGCAGTGTTGAGTATATGGGCAGTGTTGAGTCTATGGGCAGTGTTGAGTATATGGGTAGTGATGAGTATATGGGTAGTGTTGAGTCTATGGGCAGTGTTGAGTCTATGGGCAGTGTTGAGTCTATGGGCAGTGTTGAGTCGATGGGCAGTGTTGAGTCTATGGGCAGTGTTGAGTATATGGGTAGTGTTGAGTCTATGGGCAGTGTTGAGTCTATGGGCAGTGTTGAGTCTATAGGCAGTGTTGAGTCGATGGGCAGTGTTGAGTCTATGGGCAGTGTTGAGTATATGGGTAGTGTTGAGTATATGGGCAGTGTTGAGTCGATGGGCAGTGTTGAGTCTATGAGCAGTGTTGAGTCTATGGGCAGTGTTGAGTATATGGGTAGTGTTGAGTCTATGGGCAGTGTTGAGTCTATGGGTAGTGTTGAGTCTATGGACAGTGTTGAGTCGATGGGCAGTGTTGAGTCTATGGGTAGTTTTGAGTCTATGGGTAGTGTTGAGTCTATGGGCAGTGTTGAGTCTATGGGCAGTGTTGAGTCTATGGGCAGTGTTGAGTCTATGGGCAGTGTTGGGTCTATGGGCAGTGTTGAGTCTATGAGTAGTGTTGAGTCTATGGGTAGTTTTGAGTCTATGCGCAGTGTTGAGTCTATGGGTAGTGTTGAGTCTATGGGTAGTTTTAAGTCTTATGGGCAGTGTTGAGTCTATGGGCAGTGTTGAGTCTATGGGCAGTGTTGAGTATATGGGTAGTGATGAGTATATGGGTAGTGTTGAGTCTATGGGCAGTGTTGAGTCTATGGGCAGTGTTGAGTCTATGGGCAGTGTTGAGTCGATGGGCAGTGTTGAGTCTATGGGCAGTGTTGAGTATATGGGTAGTGTTGAGTCTATGGGCAGTGTTGAGTCTATGGGCAGTGTTGAGTCTATGGGCAGTGTTGAGTCGATGGGCAGTGTTGAGTCTATGGGCAGTGTTGAGTATATGGGTAGTGTTGAGTATATGGGCAGTGTTGAGTCGATGGGCAGTGTTGAGTCTATGGGCAGTGTTGAGTCTATGGGCAGTGTTGAGTATATGGGTAGTGTTGAGTCTATGGGCAGTGTTGAGTCTATGGGTAGTGTTGAGTCTATGGACAGTGTTGAGTCGATGGGCAGTGTTGAGTCTATGGGTAGTTTTGAGTCTATGGGTAGTGTTGAGTCTATGGGCAGTGTTGAGTCTATGGGCAGTGTTGAGTCTATGGGCAGTGTTGGGTCTATGGGCAGTGTTGAGTCTATGAGTAGTGTTGAGTCTATGGGTAGTTTTGAGTCTATGCGCAGTGTTGAGTCTATGGGTAGTGTTGAGTCTATGGGTAGTTTTAAGTCTTATGGGCAGTGTTGAGTCTATGGGCAGTGTTGAGTCTATGGGCAGTGTTGAGTATATGGGTAGTGTTGAGTCTATGGGCAGTGTTGAGTCTTTGGGTAGTGTTGAGTCTATGGGCAGTGTTGAGTCTATGGGCAGTGTTGAGTCTATGGGCAGTGTTGGGTCTATGGGCAGTGTTGAGTCTATGAGTAGTGTTGAGTCTATGGGTAGTTTTGAGTCTATGCGCAGTGTTGAGTCTATGGGTAGTGTTGAGTCTATGGGTAGTTTTGAGTCTATGTGCAGTGTTGAGTCTATGGGTAGTTTTGAGTCTATGCGCAGTGTTGAGTATATGGGCAGTGTTGGGTCTATGGGCAGTGTTGGGTCTATGGGCAGTGTTGGGTCCATGGGCAGTGTTGGGTCCATGGGCAGTGTTGAGTCTATGGGTAGTGTTGAGTCTATGCGCAATGTTGAGTCTATGCGCAGTGTTGGGTCCATGGGCAGTGTTGAGTCTATGGGTAGTGTTGGGTCTATGGGCAGTTTTGGGTCTATGGGCAGTGTTGGGTCTATGGGCAGTGTTGGGTCTATGGGCAGTGTTGGGTCTATGGGCAGTGTTGGGTCTATGTGTAGTGTTGAGTCTATGGGCAGTGTTGGGTCTATGTGTAGTGTTGAGTCTAAGTGTAGTGTTGGGTCTATGGGCAGTGTTGGGTCTATGGACAGTGTTGGGTCTATGTGTAGTGTTGAGTCTATGGGTAGTGTTGAGTCTACGGGTAGTGTTGAGTCTATGGGTTGTGTTGAGTCTATGGGCAGTGTTGAGTCTATGGGCAGTGTTGGGTCTATGTGTAGTGTTGAGTCTATGTGTAGTGTTGGGTCTAATGGGCAGTGTTGGGTCTATGGGCAGTGTTGGGTCTATGTGTAGTGTTGAGTCTATGGGCAGTGTTGGGTCTATGTGTAGTGTTGAGTCTATGTGTAGTGTTGGGTCTATGGGCAGTGTTGGGTCTATGGACAGTGTTGGGTCTATGTGTAGTGTTGAGTCTATGGGTAGTGTTGAGTCTACCGGTAGTGTTGAGTCTATGGGTAGTGTTGAGTCTATGGGCAGTGTTGAGTCTATGGGCAGTGTTGGGTCTATGTGTAGTGTTGAGTCTGTGTAGTGTTGGGTCTATGGGCAGTGTTGGGTCTATGGGCAGTGTTGGGTCTATGGGCAGTGTTGGGTCTATGTGTAGTGTTGAGTCTATGGGCAGTGTTGGGTCTATGTGTAGTGTTGAGTCTATGTGTAGTGTTGGGTCTATGGGCAGTGTTGGGTCTATGGGCAGTGTTGGGCCTATGTGTAGTGTTGAGTCTACGGGTAGTGTTGAGTCTATGGGTAGTGTTGAGTCTATGGGCAGTGTTGAGTCTATGGGTAGTGTTGAGTCTATGGGTAGTGTTGAGTCTATTGGCAGTGTTGGGTCTATGGGCAGTGTTGGGTCTATGGGCAGTGTTAAGACTGTGGGTGGATACCTTGTAGTGGAGGCGGCTCAGTATTACAAGTTGACACCGTCATCATTATTATCATCATATTTACTGTTGGTAAAACCATTTAAGTCCACGAGTCCCAGGACAGGACATTCTCACTTCGTCGGTGACTCCTGAGCTAGCTGGCCATCGCTTTCTCGGCCTCAGCGTCTCGACGTGGCCAATCACAGCGATCGTGTGCGACAACCGCTGTGACGTCGGCTGGGGGTTGCTTGTCGAGCAATGCGCTGATTGGCCAACAAAAAAAACAAGAGCCCACGTGTCCAGCCGGGGCGTTCCCCTCCCCCTTGTACATTCGAAACTTTGCCCTGCACGGTAACCATGGCGCGGCATGGCTGTTGACGACGATGATGATGAAAGCGATTTTAAAGACCGGTGGAGCGACGCATCAGGATTTTAGTTTCTTTATTTGCGTAAAAATGTTTATTGGGTTTTTTTGTTTAAACATATCCGCTGTTATCAAATCGCTTTGGAAACTTCTCCCTCTCTAATATAATCTACTCAATCCACCGATTGCATGACCACGTTAAATACCAAATAAACAGTATCAATAGCAATAATAACCACAGTAATTAACGAAAACCACCCCACAGTTATCAACCGGGGGGGGGGGGGGGGGGTTCGTTTCAGCCCGGGGACCTCTGCATATGGGTCGGAAACTCGGAAGAAAAAAAATACTTTAATCGCGAACGGCACACATCGCTCCGGTTATCCATAATAGAGGTCCGTTGTGGGTTCGATCGCGTACATATGAATGCGTATTTAACGCGATCCAACCCTAAACAACGATCACAATACGTTTATGCGATCTAACCCACAGCACATCTAGCATGGATATTGCTCGACAAATCCTACTACTGAATGGCTTCACGAGCCACATGCCTGCTCCCACTAAAATCGGGTAAGAAATTAACCCCTCCTCTAACACGTAGGCTTTCGCGACCAATATTATTTATAATCAACGATTTTTGGGTTAGATCGCGTTATTTATAAGTGTCGTAACCCTCCACCACCCGACACGGCCAATCAGTAAAAACGTGTCACGTTGACAAGACAAATAGTTCACTTCTTTAGCCCACCGGTGTGTTGAAGCGTGAAACCAAAAAAAATTTGTAAATGTTGTGGTTTCACGCTTCAACACACCGGTGGGCTAAAGTAGTGAACTATTTGTCTTTTGTCAACGTGACACTTTTTTACCGATTGGCCGTGTCGGGTGGTGGAGAGTTACGACAAATTTATACATAACGCGATCTAACCCAAAAATCGTTGATTATGAAATTAACCCCCGGCTGTGTCGCCAACCATTCCCCGACCGCCTGGCACTGGTGGCGTCACCGACAACTGCGAACGCGAGTGGGGACGGAGGGGAAGTCGACATTGGTTCAGAGGGTCGATAGTCTCTCTTCTCTCGCGTCCTCCTCCTTCTCACGCATCTCGACACGCGGCCCGGGAATCGAGCGTCTGAGCGCTGGGCAAAGCGAGCGCGCACAGGTGACCGGAAACGGGAGAAAAAGAATTACCACAAGCAGACACCAGCCCTCCCCATAGCGTACTGGTGAACCAGACAGCAGCCCTACCCATAGCGTACTGGTGACCAGCCCTACCCATAGCATACTGGTGAACCAGACACCAGCCCTCCCCATTCAGCTAATCCCTAACCTAAGCCAGGCAAGCACCGTCCAACCAGAAGTCAACCTTGCACATAGCCCTATCAAACTGACGAATCAGATTCCATCTCTGGATCTAGCCCTGACCCCTAACCCCGAGCCCCAACGCGTGTATCGAGTCGTCCCCTCTTCGCTCCCCCTCCTCGTCATCCCCCCCCACCCGCACCCCCCTCCGTGACGATCGCGCGCCAACGTCCCGCGAAACGGAACATCCAAGTCACCTCGTCAACAAACAATCGCAAGGAAGACGTCAAGATGGACAATTAACAGCAAACGACGACACAAAACGCACGTGGAATTTCGCGAGTAAAGGAAAAAAGTGACACGCCCTCCCCCCGCCCCCGGCACAGAAGCACCAGGATAAAAGCAAAGCAACAGCAGTGCCCCAAGTAGCTCAAGAGATGAATCAAGGCAATAGGTGGGGGCGCAGCTCAATGAGGTCGCGGGGTATCATCGCTGCCAAGAGGCCATAGGTTCAGCACCTCTGGGAGAACAGCGCAACATTCAAACAGCGACATCATCGTCACCACGACGACGACGACTACTAACTACGACTAATAACTACTACGACTAATAACTACTCGGCAGAGACGCGCGGCTCCAACTCACCGCATTCTAAGATTGCATTCATGTGCAAAATGTTCTAAAGCCGAGGGAGCGGAGGGATTGAAATCCGCCTCCTCTCCTCTTCCCCGCACCCCCCCAAAGTGAAACGAAATCTCAGCGTCTCAACAATGGCAGTCTTCCAGCAGGCAATCATCAGCATCATCATGGGTTAAAATGACTACGCGAGACAATGACGCCTTTGATCGGCTGCCGATATCGCATCTGCGCTGACGTGCAGTGACCCTATCCTAGGCTGTGTGCAGATAAAAATACTAACTTGCAGACACGTCAAGAGCACTTCTGTGGTATCTACTTTCGTGGTTCATTAACACGCACGCACGCCATCGCCTGCCGCTAACGTGCAGTGACCCGAGCCTCGGCTGTGCGCGGATATAAAATACTTATTTGCAGACATATACCCACTCAAAAATATTTTCCGGAACGCTGCTCTACTGGCTTCAGTTGGGGTAGGCATGTTTGGTGTAAGGCACTACCACTAGAGTGCAAGTCACGCTTATCAATTAAAATAACCCTATATATGATTAACTGTGCCCCCGCATTCCGCTGTGAGCCCACACGGTCAGGGTATGGGACAAAGCGAGGCGGCGAGAAGGTTGTGGGCGCACCGAGAGAATTCCCCAACGTCCCGCCCCTGGAATCGAGCATGGATCTCACTGCCCTCCGATAGTTTCTGGACGAACGCCGATCATTTGTTTCGTCTCGTGACCACATTTTAAGGTCACGCCAATAACAGGCGACAGCGTTGTAAGACACACCGAGGAATTCTTCCTGGCAGGATTTTGTGGTAGTTGGTGGTAGTGGTGGAAGTGGTGGTAGTTTTGGTAGGTGTGGTAGTTGGTGATAGTGGTGGTAGTTGGTGGTAGTGGTGATAGTGGTGGTAGTTGGTGGTAGTGGGTGGTAGTGGGTGGTAGTGGTGGTAGTGGGTGGTAGTGGGTGGTAGTGGTGGTAGTGGGTGGTAGTGGGTGGTAGTGGGTGGTAGTGGTGGTGGTAGTTGGTGGTAGTTGGTGGTAGTTGGTGGTAGTTGGTGGTAGTTGGTGGTAGAGGTGGTAGTGGTGGTAGTTGGTGGTAGTGGGTGGTAGTGGGTGGTAGTAGGTGGTAGTGGGTGGTAGTGGGTGGTAGTGGGTGGTAGTGGTGGTAGTGGTGGTAGTTGGTGGTAATTGGTGGTAGTGGTGGTAGTGGTGGTAGTAGTGGTGGTGGAGATGGTGGAAATTAAAATATTTGTGGTTTGCGGTAGACGCGTGGGTGGCTCCCACGTGGGTGGCTCCCACGTGGGTGTCTCCGCAAGTGAGGGGGGTCACGGAGGGAGGTGGCGATGGAAGGAGGAGGGGGTGGGGTGCAGTGATAGGATAGCTCCATCTTTGGGCGGGGTGGGGGGGATTATCCATAATGGCAAGAGTAATGCCTCGTTGTGGTCGGTGTTTGTGATTTAACCAGCGGAGGAAAACCCACGAGGGGCCAGGATGAGAGGAGGAGTCTCGCATTTGTAACAGGGGTGGGGGGGGCATGGAACAGAGGCGGGGGGGGGTGGGGGTGAGGGGGGGGTTGTGGGGGGCAGGGGTTGTGGGGGGCTAGGTCTATCCCTCTGTGCTCCCATACGAAGGCGTCGGGCTGGGGGGGCACCCCTTGCCCTTGAGACTCTGCGTGTCGCCCCCCGCCTCTCCGGGCTCCTCCCCCTTGGAGGCTGCGTCGTCTTGCGGGTAGACGACGACGCACAGCTTCTGCCCGCCGTACGTCACCACGTCTGCACGCACACACGCACAGTCACGATGATGACGACGTTGATGACGATGTCAGCTTGTAAAGCCGCGCCACCGTCACTCCCCACTCTCGCAGGGAGAGAAGGCGACACACACGCACATACACACACGCACGCGCACACGCACACTCGCACACATACATGCGCACACCACATACATGCGCACACACACGCACCGATGATGGTGTCGAGGAACTTGGGACGGTTTGTCCAGTAGACGCCCAGGAAGTAGACGGGCACGCCGGTGAGCATCATGGCGAGGCCGACGCCGCACACCACGGGCTCCGACACGAGGCTGAAGACGAGCAGGAAGGCCCAGAAGAGGAGGTAGATGATGGGGAAGATCACGCTCACCTGCGCGGACGCACGTGGACACACGCACGGCAAACCACGTCCAGGACAGTTAGGATGCTCAACTCGTTAGGGGAGGCAGGAGGGGCGGAGGAGGAAAGGGGGGGAGGGCATGCAAAGGGGTTTCAGCCCCTCGTTTGCAAGAGCCCCCAAAATGACAAATGAATGATGAATGAATGTGTGTATATATCTATATATATAAAAGGGAAATTTGTGAATATGTGTGTCTGTTCGAAATGTTTAGCATACTTCCCGACATGCAACAAACTTGAAATTTGCCATGTGGGTACGGTCAACAAAGTAAACACAAAAAATCAGCTCTAAAATAATCTAGATGTAAGAGTGCATTGCTCCTAGTGGCATCTTAATATCGAAATCTGTGGTCAGAATGTTTCATTGATATTGGAGGGAGGAATCTGATGAGCTATGAAGCTCTTTTGCACAGATGTAGAGTAGGGAGAGAAACGGGAGGCAAAGTCACTATAACTACATTTCAACTAAAGTAACTAAAACTAACTCTTTATTTTAGCAGATAAAGCCCACGTAGCTATGCAGCTCTTTTTCAGAAGTGACCTGGCCACAAGTGATATCTCAACAAAGTGGCTTATCGTCGCACGGACATTTACAGCAGGCAAATTTATGAACGCGTGATGTTGATTCTAAACGTCGCGGGAATAACCGGAGGAGCCGGAGAACAATCCACACAACAACAACAAAATCATCAACACTACCACGGGGATAGAGAGAGGCAAGCACACTCCAAATAGGCAGCAGGCGTCAGGATCGAACCCACGACCTTCCCGCACGAGGCGAGGTAGTAAACATCTCAAGTATGTTACGCAAGAATAAATTAGCGCAATGACCCCTCTCCTAACCCCCACGCGCCGTGACTCGCAGCCCGGCGCCTGAGGTCTCCCAGCCACTGGAGCCCCCCCCATACTCCCCCCCTCCTCCCCCCCACCTCCACCCACCTTGATGGGTCTCGCAATGTCGGGCTGCTTCCAGCGCAGCACCAGCATGCCCGCGATGGTGACGCCGTAGAAGAGGTAGTTGATGAAGCCCACGTAGTTAATGAGCGTGTACATGTCGCTGGTGAGCAACATCAGCAGCGTGGTGGCGCACTGCGGGGGGAGGTGGGAGGCACGGGGAAGGGAGAGAATGAGTGCATGTCACTCGCTAGCAGCATCAGCAGCAGCGTGGTGGCGCACTGCGGGGGGAGGTGGGAGGCACGGGGAAGGGAGAGAATGAGTGCATGTCACTCGCTAGCAGCATCAGCAGCGTGGTGGCGCACTGCGGGGGGAGGTGGGAGGCACGGGGAAGGGAGAGAATGAGTGCATGTCACTCGCTAGCAGCATCAGCAGCGTGGTGGCGCACTGCGGGGGGAGGTGGGAGGCACGGGGAAGGGAGAGAATGAGTGCATGTCACTCGCTAGCAGCATCAGCAGCAGCGTGGTGGCGCACTGCGGGGAGAGGTGGGAGGCACGGGGAAGGGGGAGAATGAGTGCATGTCACTCGCTAGCAGCATCAGCAGCAGCGTGGCGGTACGCTGCGGGGGGAGGTGGGAGGCACGGGGAAGGGGGAGAATGAGTGCATGTCACTCGCTAGCAGCATCAGCAGCGTAGTGGCGCACCGCAAAGTCCAAAAATCCCCCGTGTGGCCTCAACAGCCTGTTGGGGCAAGTGCTGTTAGCGAGTAGCACCTGTGTGCCAAAACACATCACTAACAGCACTTGCCCCAATAGTCTGATAAAGGCGAAACGGGTTACATTGGTCCTTTGGCCCTCACCACACCACCCACTCGTGGGTGCCGTGCGGTCCTCTCTAACAGCACTTGCCTTAGCGGGCAAGAGAATATGTGGGGGACCTTTGCCTTTGTGCGTTGCGTGTACCGTGAAGAGCAGGGCGGGGATGGGCGTGCACTTCCGCACGTGAATCATGGCGAGGAGGCTCGGCAGGTGGCCTTCCCTCGCTCCGGCGAAGAACAGCCTGATCACACACACACACACAACAACAACAACCTCAACAACCACACACACAACAACCACACACACAACAACCACACACACAACAACAACAACAACCTCAACAACAACCACACAACAACCACACAACAACCACACAACAACCACACACACAACAACCGCTAAAGGGCGGTGATGTCACCACGGTGCTTGTGCCTGGCTGTGTGCACCTTGAAGATGCCACGTGACAGTGTCCTGCTGGCACGAGGCAAAACAAAGGCAAAGATCCCCCACCCCGTATTGCCTCAAGATACTCTAGGGGCAAGTGCTGTTAGCGAGCCGGCAGGGCACACGAGGGGGTGGGTTGCCAGCACCATGCCCGGGCCGCCTTTGTCTCCCTCGTGGCGATGTTTTACACACCACACTAGGCACTCATTAAAGGCCGAGTCGGCCTAGAGGAGGCCCAGAACCGGTTCAGATAATCGTCACTGGCGTTGGCCGTGAGTGGGAATCGAATGTAGCGCAACGTGCTACATTCGATTGCCGCTCACTCGGGTCGCCGGGTTCGTAGCGCAACGCGCTCACCCACACACACACAGACACGTACAGACACGTACAGATGTACAGACACGTACAGACACACAGACACGCACAGAAACACGCAGCCCGGATATGAAAATCCACGTTGCGGTGTGCCTAAAGAAGAACTTTTTTGTTTCACACGGCACATTTGCTCTTCGCTCCATAGTTACAGAGCACGGCTACCGCGTGGTCCTACCAAAAATTGCGACAAATGCCCCCCCCCCTCCTACCCATTCCAAGGTGCATCGCAGGATCTCCGACAACCACGGATGCCGGTGGCCGTGCTCTCGCGCCGGGGCCGTGCCAACCCCCCCCCCCCCCCCCCCCCCCCGTACAGTTGTTGTATCCTAACCCTTCTTCCATAATTGAGATTAATAATATTTGATGATTTTTATATATTATCTTTTTACTTGTTTTTTTAATGATTGAAACACACCAAAAGCGCAGCAAACTGCAAAACACCAGGTGTTGTTAAGTAATGAACCGGAGGAGGGCTAGGATGGCAGAATTTGCAACCTTGCTTCAAGGGAAGATAAGGCCTGATGAACGGGCACATGTCACCCGTGCAGGCGGCAGAGACAGTGGGAGTGTCAGCCAGACATAGTTAAGGCAAAAAGCCCAACTATCCTGCATGGTTTTAAAGTAACGTCAAAATTCGAATTTAACAACAGGGTAGGCTAAAGTTATTGATATTCACACCCACTCCAATTAAACCAGGCCACAAGTTACGCCTACTGAACCATCACCATTATTAAGTCAATATGAAATGTTATTTCCATACTTCAATACTTTCTATACAACTCGACCCGAAGCATATGACAATCAGAACCTTCCTAAGTCAAAATTGAATCGCACCCAGACAGGAGCGAATAGTCAATATAAGGTTGAAGAGGGAAGGAAATTAAGAGCACGGCGAACTGCAAACGTAAGCAAAAAGCCGGGAACAACACCAGCCCAGCAACAGCGAGTGGGGCTTCGACAGGCCATAAAGTAGAATAATAACTCCCGGGGTCAGGGGACACAAGAAGAAGCAGGCAGACAAAAACCAGAACTGACTCCAAGGTTCAACCGCCCTCACCTACTCAGGAGTGACGGAAATTAATGAGGCCTTGAATTAACGGCAGCTGGACGGCAACAACAACGGCGAGCAGAGATAGGGTGGGGCAAAGACTGCGGGCTATGAATGCAACTTCGTGTCAGTAAAGCCCTGACAAACAAGTTAAGTTAAAGACATCACAATACATAATATCGCACATAACATCAATGTTAACGCTATTCACCGTAAACTATATTCCGCTTATATAACCATCCAGGCACCAAGGAATACGAATTCCTAGGATCAAGAAACTTACCCCTTAACCTAAGATATCGGAAATAAATTAATAGTAATAAGTATATGCATGAAAAGACAAAGTAAAACTTATGGAGAAGCCAGGATAACGGGATGAATCACAACCAGGTCGAATATAATACATAATAAAAAAAACGATGTTAAACCCAGGGTCGGAGAGAAAGGGAGATTCCGGCCGTCTTTGTATCCCCGCAGCGCGGGATAGGAGTGTGTGTACGATCGGGGAAACACCTACACTTGGGTCGGGCACCACGATGGGAAACGACAGACCTTAGGTTACATACAGAATCATAACTGTGAAATAGTAAGGGACAAATGTTAACTTAAAACTTTTTAACCATTTCTTTGTGCGCCGGGTCGGAGAGAGTGTTGCCCCTCCCTCCAGGTTGTGCAACACGAACAAAGACGCCTATGAGACGATTTGTAACGTCTGTGTTTTGGGTCATGAAGAAGGCCAGACAAGAGATAATATTGCACCCAGACAGAGAGACGACTTCGAGGCAATTTGTAACATCTGATTGTTTGCTCGTGGGTTTTATGGAGGGAGTGTGACAACGAATATACCGTCAGTGATGCACACAAGGACACACGGACATACGGACAGACACATGGACACACCTGCCTACGGACAGATCCTGACACAGCAAAAATCGGAAGAAGCCCCGCCTTGTGGGCGGGATCCAGGGGGAATTTTCGGCATAAAGTAAAGGATCCTGAGCATTGGAAACCAGTGCGACGGGAGGGTCCACTCAGAAGCTCGACCGGGAGGGTCGACTCAGGAACGAGTGCGACGAGAGGGTCCACTCAGGAGCGCGACCAGGAGAGTCGGCTCAGGAGGAGTGCGACCAGTGGGTCCACTCAGGAGTGCGACCAGAGAGTCGACTCAGGAGCGAGGGCGACCAGCGGGTCGACCCAGGAGCGAGCTCGACCGGGAGGGTCGACTCAGGAGCGAGCTGCGACCAGCGGGTCGGCTCGACTCATCTTCAGCTCGTCAACCTCTGCCGAACCGCGGGTCTCTGCTGCCACCGGAGTGGTGAGCATCGCGATTCGGCGACAACCCAGAGCTGCACGCTGCGAGCGAGTTGTGGGCGCCACCTACCGACCGGGTTCCGAACTGCGACAGCGTATCAACAGCCATCCGAACCAATTCGCCACGGGATCGACTGATACGTATGACGCGCACCGCCCCCTCACCACACGACCACCAGGCGTCTGTTTGACCTAAAGAATCGACTCCGAACACTGACTATTCAAGACAACTCTTACCACTCAAAAACACTCGAACCCATAAGCCATCCGTGGCTGGAAAGCATCACAACGAGACCGAGGGATGGCCCTCCGTCGTTTATAAGAGTATTCTTAATTTTTATCTTTAATATTTAGTGGGCTGTACTCTTAATCGCATAAATTCCCAACAGATCCATCAATACGAACTGATTCTTGGCACCTCCTTCCGCCGAGCCACGCTCACGTGGGGAGTGGTGGCCCACCGGATCCTTATCAGGTGATCTGGTCCCCAATTAGTAAACTTGGTATAAGATAACGATCTTCGGAAAAGGAGCACCGTCGCAGGCCCTTACTCCGAGCCGTTCTGAGATAACCTGCCGATGTATCTGTTGAGATTGGTGCCTTTAAGAATAATAACTGTTTTTGATTGTGTTTTTTTTATCGCCGTATAATCTTTCAAGTATCTTTCAGTCATAATCGCCGCACGTACTCGCATCCTCTACAGAATATTCAACTGTTCCGTGACCCAAGGTGTTAACAACGTGATAAGGGTTGCGTATGATCAATAAGGAGTGCGGTACTGCGTGAACAATATTGAGTATAATCATTCATTAACGTTAAGGTTTTCTTAGCATAGTATTTGCATGTTTTAACGACTCTCTCTCTCACTAACAACCATCGCGTTATGCGGTATCCATGTGCCGTTGTCAAAGTGAAATCAGACAATCGTTGATGATACTGTATTGATGCCGTGTTGACGTTCCGGGATTGAGAGTTCGCATATTATATCATAGTTAAGGTTGAATTAGTAATAAATTGATTAATACAGAAGTGGTTGTGTGATTCTTTCCTGAAATCTATGCATAAGATCTGCTTCTGCGTTGAGATTTGAACTTGGTGACCTTAATAAACACACTAATACATACTCAGTAAATGTTAAAGCGATAACGGGGTGAACCGGGGTCTGGTTATCATAACGACTTGCGTTATCATAATTACACCCACTCGCATAATTAATACGATTACCTCTCGAATTGGCATAATTAAAATGTGCGTAATTACATAAATTAACATATTTCCGGATAATTACACATTTGGCCAAATTTCATTTAATTATTATTATTTCCACTGAATATTCATAACCCACATATACAACATAATAATTTCACCCACGCACGCATACAACATAACAAATTTTCATACCCAACATATACAACACAGTGAACAACACCGATTATTTGCCTGGAGGAAAATAAAATTCATGGTAATGTTCATATCTCTGGAACTGGGTGAACCGGCCCGGGGTGGTTACGAGAGGGGGAATGCCTGTGCCGACTGCCCTCTCACTCGCTCTTCTAGCAGCTCTGCGAAAACGATGACGAGTGAGACGCCACGGACTCCAGCGGAGTCATGCCCCGATCATTCTGTTCACCACGAGTCGCCAAGTTCTCTGCGAGGGAACAATGACCTCAATAGAGTGATTGCCCCCCCCCCCCCTGCTCTCCCCCCCCCCCTCCATTCTGCCCCCCACCCCCCCTCACCTCACATGCATTGGTTTATTCCAGGAAATCTAAAACACTCACTAAATGTGGAGTTGTCCAAAGATCCCAATGTTGTAGGACCACGAGAGCTTGGGCAATTGTTGTTCGTGTATAGCAGCGGCACCAGTTGTGGGAGGCCACCTTCGCACTCGGTTGTCTGTGCCTTTTCCCCATGAATCCAAATCATCTCGCTCCCTGCCTGCCTGCCTGCCCGCCTGCCTGCACGCCTGCCTCCCCGGGAGAGTGACCCCAACACTACACTCGTTACAACACGCAGCGCCAAACAACTGCGATGATGCTCATCCTAATCATCAACATCGTCCTCCCTGTGCCTGCAACCCTCACGACCTCCGTACGTGCGCCCCGTGGCGCTATAAATAGGCGGAAGAAGATGACGAAGCTCGATTCGCGACCGGGGCTGCTGCTGAATAACAACAGCCCCCCCGAGCCCCCCACAGCCCCCGCCCCCCAGCAAATGCAGCGAGAGGCAAACAGGAAGGGCCGGTCTAATTCGGCTCACGTTCAAGCGCGTCCGTGGCGTTCGCTGCCAAACTCCCTCCCTGCTATTGGCCACGTGCCGAGAACATCCATTACGCAACGAGCAGAAGGGGGGGCGGGTTCTCCCCTAGGTCGACTCGGCCTAAAAATAACGCAGCGTAACCCACCAGCGCGTGGCCAGCGGTTGCCCGTTCTTCGCGTGGCGTCAGCCTCCCGCCCCCGGCCTGCCGCTGCCGGAAGTGCCCCCCCATTCCAATCCGACAGGCAGCCCTGGTTAATCGCCTGGTATACATAGGAGGTTCGCGAGTTCGATAAACTCCTCCTGTATATTTGGAGTTTGCAATTTTCTCTCCGTGGTCGTGTGGATTTTTCTCCGGTTCTGTCGTTTTTTTACCCTCCGCATTTATAAATCAACTTCACGCGTTCTGATCATTTGGCTGCTTCACATCTCTACTTCCTTGAGTTGTCATTTGGGGCCAGGTCATTTCTGAAAATGAAACCAAATGGCTCCGTGGGTTATCTGCTAAAGTAAAAAAAAAGTTTTTTTTTGTTCGAGTGATTTGTTATTACATTGTTTGTTGATGTAACCGGTCCAACAACCCCGCCCACTACTGGATATCTCTGTGCAAATCCGATGAGCTTTCATAACCTCATCCGATACGCAAATCCTCACACGGCCTTGGGCGAACGATGGAGCGAGCAAGCACGCATGTCAAACACGCCTTCCCCACCCTCTCTCTCCCCGTCACAATGCCAGGTCGGAGATGTTTTATATCTCCGCGAACTGACGACGGCCACGCAGGTGTGTGCCACCTGGGTGGTGTTTGTGTTGCAGGAGGCCAGCACCACGCCCGGTCGCCTTTATCTCCCCAGTTGGCGATGTTTACACACCGCACCAGGTACCCATTTAAAGCCTGAGTCGACCTAGGGGAGGCCCAGGACCAGTTCAGATTATCGTCACCCATGTTGGCCGTGAGTGAGAATCGAACTCGGGTCTCTTTGGTTCGCAGCGCGCTAACCCAGCACCCGCCTACGGGTACACGACAGCACTTACAACAGAGAAGTTAAGTTGTGCGCCTTTTGGCGTCATCTGGTCCAACCCATATGAGACTAGGCTCGAAGGAAAGCTGTCTCGGGTGTGGACCAATCAACTTCAAGGACAGTGCACATTATCAGAGTTATGTCTTTTGTTTGTATTTATGACTGCAGGTATTGCGGTCTATGCAAACATGACTCCTTGCAAAAAGGTGTCAGTTTTGTTGCCAGATAGAAGGGTAAAGAACCAATTATCATATTTTTTACTGGCAAATGAGGTCCCCATAGTGTAGATGCTTGCCCCGAGCTCTCATACTCTGATGGTGCATTGTCCTTGAGTTGTGCGCCTTTTGGCGTCATCTGGTCCAACCCATATGAGACTAGGCTCGAAGGAAAGCTGTCTCGGGTGTGGACCAATCAACTTCAAGGACAGTGCACATTATCAGAGTTATGTCTTTTGTTTGTATTTATGACTGCAGGTATTGCGGTCTATGCAAACATGACTCCTTGCAAAAAGGTGTCAGTTTTGTTGCCAGATAGAAGGGTAAAGAACCAATTATCAACAGAGAAGTTTACAAGAAGTGACGTCCATTACCAGCCCCCCCCCCCCATGCCCCTTCCCCCCCCGGCCCCCCAGGCCCCCCCCGCCCCCCAGGACCCCCCCCCTCCACGGTCCGAAGTGAAGCGGCGATGTTGAAACCCCTACGGTGAATGTGTGTGTGCGCTACTCGCTGACAGCACTTACCCCCAGCAGGCTACGCACACGGGGGGGGGGGGGGGGGGGCCCTTTGTCTTTGTTCCTCACCGTGCCGACGTGAAGAGGGAGCCGTTGACGCCGCCGAACGTGGAGAGCGCCACGGAGATCGGCATGAGCCACGACATGACCCCCAGCAGCTTCTCTCCGAACGTCTGCACACGTGCACAAAGACAAAGACCCCACCCCCCCGTGTAGCCTTAACAAGCCTGTTGGGGCAAGTGCTGGTGGGCGAGTAGTAGCACCTACGAAGGCTCAGGTGGCATACGAGAGGGTGGGTGGTGAGCACCATGACCAACCTGCAAACTTAGTCTCCCACGTTTGCTCCAGGTGCTCATTTAAGGCCGAGCCGACCTATCAGATAGGCCAGGACCGTTTCACGTAATCGTCACTGGGTGTTGACCGTAAGAGGGCAATCGAACTTGGGTAGCTAGGCTTGTAACCGCTACACACGCTCCCCCACACAAAACATAAATATACCGCTCCGTTTAGCCTTTTAACAGACTGTTGGGGAAACCGCTATGAGCGAGCAGCACCTATGAAGGCCGGCACGGCACACGAGGGGGTGGGTGGCCAGCACCACGCCTGCCCAGCCGCATTTGTCTACCGAGTCGATCTACACACACACACACGTCAACTTTAACTATTCAACTAAACTATTTTTTATTTTTACCAGGTAAGGCCCACGAAGCCATATAGCTCTCATAGAGAAGCAACCTGGCCACAAATGATAGCTCAACGAAGTGGCTTATCACGTGGAAATATATAGCAGCCAAATACTCTCTAAACGCGTGAATCTGGATTCTAAAATGTGGAGAGAAAAAAGCCGGAGCAAATCGGAGAAAATTCCACGCAACCACCGCGGGTAGAGAGAGAGAAGAAAACCTCCAAATACAAGTCCACGACCTCCTGCATACCAGGCGGGGTAAATTTCGATTTAAAGCTTTCGTGACTGCAGGGATTCATCTTCTTGGTTCTTTCGGTAAAGTCACGTAGAAGGGAAATAATAAAATTATGAAAATAAAACATAATAAAATACAATTCTCACGACGTTTCGGCCACAACGCAAGCAGCCATCCTCAGGTGCAGAACAGGTCTGTCGGAAAGACCACCATCAAGCTTGGCAGCATACGCTGCCAAGCTTGATGATGGTGTTCATTCAGACGCTGTCTTTCCGACAGACCTGTTCTTCACCTGAGGACGGCTTGCTTGCGTTGTGGCCGAAACGTCGTGAGAATTATATTTTATTAGGTTTTATTTTTATTATTTTATTATTTCCCTTCTACGTGATGACTTTACCGAAAGAACCAAAAAGACCAGGCGAGGGAGTTAACATCTGGCCTCGTGGGCGGGGCCTCACCACGGCGACGGCGTTGGAGCTGAGGAGCTCTTCGGGCGACATGGCGGTGACGTAGGCGATGTTGGCGAACACGTAGACGAAGGTGACGAGCGGGATGGAGATGAAGATGGCACGTGGGAGATTCCTGCGGGGGGGGGGGGGGCGCGGGGGAGCAGAGGGCGGGAGCACGGTGGGCTACGTACGGAGTGAAAGAATTGCAAGACGCTCGCACGGATAGGCTCCCATAAACCACGTGACTTCTTCTGTGAGTGGCCACCCCCACTCCGAACCCCTCCCCTCTCCCCGCCCGCTGTGAAATCAGACGCCGCTCCACCTCCATGCAGCAGCAGCCGGGTGGAGGCCCTGACGCAGCCTCTCTCCTCCCTCTCCTCGTCTCCCCTGATCCCCCCTTGCTCCCTTTTCTCCGCTCAGTCTCCACCCGACACCTCTCATCTCCCATTCCCTCTCCTCTCCTCCTCGCTCTCTCTCCCTTCTCCCCTTTCCTTTCGCTTCTCCCTCCACACACCGCACACCCTCGACTCCACTCCCCTTGCCTCTCTTGGGTGGCAGATTTGTGCCATGAAGCCGCCACACGTTGACCAATTTAATGATAATGTCCACGACATCAGAAGGGCTGATGTGAGAGTGCCACCCTCTCACGAGCAGACCGGAGGAGCGGGCGGGGGGGGGGGAAGATGACCCCAATGCATCTCGGCGGTAGCTCCACGTTATCCACTTCCACACAGTGGGGGAGCCTCTCCCAATGTTGCTCAGCGAAGCGAGATGTGTGGGTTAGAGGGTAGGGGGTGACCTTTGGGGGGGGTGGGGTGATGTTGACCTGTCGAGGCAGGAGTGGTCACACTGACCTATAGGGTGGGGGTCACGTTTACCTGTAGGGGAGGGTCACCGTCCTGTCGGGGGAGGGGTCACGCCGACCTATCGGGGGTCACGCCAACTTGTATTAGGGCTCACGCTGATCTGTAGGGGGTGGGTAGGGGGGGGGGGGGGTCACGCCAACCTGTAGGGGTCGACGAGCTCCTCGGTGACGTAGTTGAGGAAGTTCCACCCCCCGTAGGCGAAGGAGCCCTGCAGGAAGGCGAGCGCCACGAGCCCCACCGTGGGCTCCTGCCACGCGCGGAACGCGTTCTGGGGCTCCAGCCAGTGGTACTGGCCTGGCTCACACACACACACACGCACACACGCACACACGCACACAACCAGCGCCCGCGTCACCACTACAGACCTTTGGGGAAATTGCCGGGGGGAGGAGTGGTGGGTGGACAACACCACGCCCGGCCGCCTTTGTCTCCCCAGTGGCGATGTTTTTACACACCACACCAGGTGCTCATTTAAAAGGCAGAGTCGACGTAGGGAAGGCCCAGGACCGGTTCAGATAATCGTCAACGATTTTGACCGTGAGCGCGAAATCGAACTCGGGTCGCTAACTGCTACACGACCGCTCCCACACACACGCACACAAACACACGCACACACACACACATACACACACATACACGTGTACACGCACACATACACACAGACACGCACACATATACACACGCACGGATGTTTTCATCACGCAGCGCCCACCGAGGGGTCACGTCTCACGGTGCCGTCACGCGGCCTCCGGGGCCACCGGGGTTTCAACGCAGCGGCGCCAACCGCTCCTCGCCAAAATGACGACACCACCGCCGGCAACGATGCATGCAAGAGACTGGCGCAGAACCGGTGGGGAGGGGGGGTGGTGTGTGTGGGAAATCAGGTTTGACGCAGCAAACTCAGAACAATGGCCTAAAAGAGCAACGGACGCGGCGAGGGAGAGGAGTGGTAGGGGGCTCGCTGGGAGCGGAATAGCGGCACCGCGATGGACACGCAGGCGCACACAGTCGTCGTCGTCGATGCAAATGTTTATACAGACGACGGTGGGGTCCGCTCTGAAGCGAGGGCGAGCGTGCGGGTGGAGGGCGAGCGTGCGGGTGCGTGGTTGGGTTAGGGATAGCGTGAAGCACTGTGGTGTAGTGGGCAGCGCTCGCTGCGCTACGAACCCGCTCATCCGGGTTCGATTCCCGCTCACGGTCAACACGAGTGACGATTATCTGAACCGGTCCTGGGCCTCCCCTAGGTCGACTCGGCCTCAAATGAGTACCTGGTGCAGTGAGTAAACATGGGCACTGGGAAGACAAAGGCGGCCGGGCGTGGTGCTGGCCACCCACTGTCTCGTGTGCCCTGCTCGCTAACGCACCGCTTGCCCCAACAGTCTTAAGGCTATACAGGATCTTCGTCTTTGTTTTTTTGAGCGAGTGTGTGATCAATGCTGCGAGCGAGTGCGCTCCAGCGCGGAGTGAATTTGCGAGCGCGCAAGTAACCGTGAGAGTGTGGCGTGAGCGGGTGAGTGAGCGGGTAAGCGAGCGAGCAGGCGAGCGTGCACTGGCGTGCACTTGACCGTGTGAACCGACACAGACACGCCTAGAACACGCTAACGAGAGTGCGGGTGGAGACCGGGGTTGTGTGGCGGGAGGCGCGACCGCCCTCCCCCCCCCCCCCCCCGTGACCTCGGCCATGTGATCGACGTATTTCACAGTCTGTTGAGGTTTAATTAAGCTGCGGATTTTCACATAATCTCTTCAAAAGCGCCACATTCCTGACGTCCGCCAGCCCCCCCCTGCAGCGGTTGGCAGCAGTGGGAGAGTTATGACAGTGCGGGTACACGTCGCGATCCAGACCTGGACGACGAGACACGGGTAAAGGTGCAGCCCTGCAACGCCACGCTCAGACCACCGCCGGCAGAAGCGTTCTAATCCACCTCCAGTAGCGGCACGACCGTGACGTGCGGTGTGAATTGCGTGCACTGCGCGCGCTAGCACACAGCGATTAACAACATCGCCACCATCAACCACGGTCAATACACCGCTGGGTCGAGGCCTCCATCCCCGCGAGCCATCGCCGCAACGATCCACGCCAGCACGTGCACAGGAAGCGAGTGCAGCGTCGCTCCATCTCCTCCACGGTGGACGTCCCTCACGGCCGCCGCGTTCCATCCCTCGGCTGCCGCTCCGTTGTAAATCCCCGACTGCAGGCCAGCGCCCGGCCCTTCTGGCCGCGCTGCGCCGCGCCCGGCCCAGGGACCTCCCGACCATGACCTTTGACACGCGGCGCCTCTTTCACGGCCAATGTCACGATTCACCGTTGACGAATTTGTGTTGTTGTTGTTGTTGTTGTCGTCGTTTGGGTCGGATCGCCGCACAACGTGGAACGCGCCTCCCCGTTATGACGTGCACCATTGTAACGCAGAATGCACATTTTCATAACGTGGAACGCGCCCCGAACTCCGGTTGCTGGGTTCGTAGTGCAGCGCGCTTGCCCCACACACAACAAAGACGACGACACATTCTCCGCAAGCTGCCAATTAATATACCGCCGTTGGCAGGACCCTCTTTACAAAGAACCTTGAGATTTGGCGTTTGATTGCCCCCAGTGACACCAAACCCAGTGCTACTCTTTTACGCTCACGATTAATACCCTAATGCTGGGGGTCACCGAGGTTACCCCCCCCCCCGCCCCGTCTACCGGCCACCACTCATCACCAAAGCCGAATGCGAGGAATCGCATTCCAGAAATATTCGGCGTGGGGCGACGGTTCCTGGAAATCTCCACGGCACGGCCGGGAGGGGCCCGTGGGTGGTGGGGGGGGTCACGATAAACCGGCGCAAGTAATTAGTGTCGGTATGAGAGCTTTTCGCGGCTGTAAAAATAGATATATAAATATAATATGCGACGTTTGCGGGCAAGCGTGGCACGTGACCTTCTTCGCAGCACATCAAGAAGGTCCATTGCCCCAAATCTCGCCGATTTGCCGCAAAGGTGGGGTTCATGGGTTTTAACTTTAATTTAATTATTTTAAATCACCGGTCAAATCATCGCACGACCCCCGAGGAGGGGGAAGGGGGGGTGCGGAGGTTTGACGGTCCCCACCTGGACTGGTGATGCGACGAGAGGGTGAGTGGAGCAATGAGTGAGTAACGGAGGCAGGAATGAGCGAGCGAGCGACGGATTGAACGAGTTACTGAGCGAGTGACCGATTTAATTACTGAGCAAGCGAGCGAGCAAGCAAATGAGTACGAGTAAGCGAGTCAACGGGTGACCGAGTGACCGAACGAGCGACTTGAGTGCCTGAGTGAGCGAGCGAGATACCGAGCGACTGCGAGAGCGACCGAACGAGCAGGCGAGCGGTACCTCTGCAGATCTGCACGAAGCCCATGACGATGATGAGCGCGAGGGCGAGCAGCTTGCCGCCGGTGAACACGTCCTGCACGCGCGTGGCCCAGCGCACGCTCGAGCAGTTCACCCACGTCAGCAGCACTGCGCAAGGACAACGACAAAGACCGTTGGGGCAAGTGCCGTTAGCGAGCAGCACCTGTAGAAGACCGGCACGGCACACGAGGGGGTTGGTGGCCTGCACCACACGTCCTTTGTCTCGCCAGTGCCGACGTTGACAAAACACCGCACCGGGAAGGCCGGGTCGACCTTGGGGGGAGAGAGAGGGGGTGAGGGACCGGTTCAAATAATCGTCACCGGTGTTGGTGGCCCTTAGTGGGAATCGAACTCGGACCCGTTCGGGTTCGTAGCGCAGCATTGCGCTAATCGCTGCGCCGCCGCTCCCGCGCACGGGAACAGGCGGCGCAGTCCACTCGCTCCTCGCCCGCGTGCGAGGACTGGCACCTCCGTGCCATCTGATAAAGGGGCGACTCACAAAGAGGGGCACGAGCGGGGTGAGTGGACACACGCAAAGACAAAGGTCCCCCACGTAGCCTCTCAGAGTGTTTGGGGCAAGTGCCACACTCGCAAGCCTCCTCCTGTCAGCGGCGAGCCTCCTCCGACACTTCACCACGATGGCCTCAAAGTGCACCCAGCCTGGCACAAGCGCCGTGGCGACGTCACTGACACTTAAGTGGCGAATGGCGGCTGTTCTGGTCGTTGTTTGTTTGTTGTTGTGGTTGTGGTGGGTTGTTGTGGTGGTGGTGGGTTGTGATGGTGGTGGTGGGTTGTTGTGGTGGTGGTGGGTTTTGGTTGTGGTGATGGGTTGTGGTTGTGGTGGGTTGTGGTTGTGGTGGGTTGTTGTGTGAAGCGATGTCCCTGAGATCGGGAGGGACGGACTGGTCCCATTGTTTTAGCGGGGTGGGTGGGAGGGAGTGTGAAACAAAGAGACAGAGACAACAAAGAGATCGCCCTCTTCCCGTGGCCCGGGTCCCACGCTCCCAACGCGTGGTGCAGCCTGTGCAGCCTGTGCAGCCTGTGCAGCCTGTGCAGGCTGTGCAGCCTGTCCGCTGCACGCGGAGCAAAGGCGCAGCCCTGCAACTGCTCGCCGGCACAGGCTGCCGCCTCCCCCTCCGCCAGCAGAGTGGTGGTGGCCCGCAAAAGCGCGTGACGCAACGTACACAGCGTGTCATGTACATTTATTAAAGACAAAGACCCCGTATAGCCTGTGCATACTGTTGGGGCAAGTCCTATGAGCGAGCACCTATGAAGGCTGGAACGGCACGCGAGGGGGTGGGTGGCCAGCACCACGCCCGACAGCCTTTATCTCCCCAGTGGCGATGTTTACTTACCACGCTGCACCAGGTACTCATTTGAGGCCGAATCGACCTAGGGGAAGCCCAGGATCGATTCAAATAATCGTCACCGGTGTTGGCCGCGAGTGGGAATCGAATCCGGGTCGCCAGGTTCGTAGCGCAGCGTAGCGCTCACCGCTACACTACCCCCCCCCCCCCACCCTATAGATACACACACAGTCATGACGACCCCCTCTTCGCGGCAATGCGATTGACGCTCACTTCTCCAGGAACGCATCTCGGGCACTAAGCGAGGGCTGCCCGTGCGGGCAAAGGTCGTCGCTGAAACGCGTCGCGATGTCCACACCGCAAACAACGCGCTGCCGCTGCTGCCGCTGCTTCTTCTTCTGCCGCCATGAGGGGACACCGTTCGCACAACTCGGAGCGCGCCGTCAAGCGACGCTCCCGGGCGCTCGACGACTAAATGCTCTCGAGCCGAGAGGCTGATGCGGTGACGCGGCGGCGTACCCCCCTCGGGCATTTGTCCCGCGCGTGTGCGTCGCTCGCGGAACATCGCATACCTCGCCAAAAAGAAAATGTAATCACCGTTACATCATTCGTAGGGTGATCGTTTCGCCGCACGCGGCACTTTTCAGGAAGGCGTCCGTCGCGTCAAACCGAGGGACTCGCCGTCGGCTCGGATGTCCGTGTGTGCAGCGTACGTCACGTCGGCTCTAGAAACACCGTAGTTCGCAACACACCGCACATTCGTGTTAAACACCCCTCCACCCCACACCACGCTGCGCAAGTGGATAACGCAGAACTACTGCCGAGATCGCGCCATCCCAAGTGACTTCCGGTCCATTAACATTGAGGGGGGGGGGGGGGGGCAGCATCCTCACACCCTTCCACGGAGATGGAGGAACGTCCGCATGAAGAGCCGAACTCCATTTCGCGCGCGAGAGAGAGAGAGCGTGACGGCTCGTGTTCAACGGAAGTGACAAAAGCAACGGCGATGACATCGACGACCGAATGACAAAGTGAACAGAAATCGGCGCAAATTCAACGGCGTCATTATGGAGCACGACTCGAAAACACGTGGAGTCGTAACCACGCACCCACCACCACCACCCCCTTCCTCTCCCGCTCCGTGACCTCGTCACCGAGCCAGGAGCCACCGAGTTGGACGCGAACCATCAGCCGAGTTCCCACCCCTCCCCTCGCATCCTCCCCCGTCTCCCATTTCATTCTCCCCCGTCTCTCGTTTCATTCTCCCCCATCTCTCATTTCATTCTCCCCCATCTCTCATTCTCGCCCTATCATCCTGCCCCCCCCCCCGCCCGCTTCTCCCGACGGCAGCTCTGTGCCCCGTGTTTGTGCGTCTCTGCTGACCAGAAATACCCAGGTGGTGGCGGCGGGGGGGGGAAGATGGATGTGGTGGTGGCGGCTGAGACGCACTCTGTCCCGTCAACATGTTTTGTGTCTCCTCCAAGAACTCTGCACTCAACGACCCCCTCCCAACCCACGTCCTGCCGCAGCTAGGCCACAGACACTCATGTTCGTCTGGGGCTCCTCTATGCGAGCCTATGGCTGTGTGTGTGTGTGCGAGTACACGGGTGAGTCGATGGTGTCTCTGAATCTATGGGTCTCTATTTGAGTCTATGGCCGTATGTGCGAGTCTACGGGTCTATGGGGTGAGGCTTTGGGTGCATGTGCGATTCTGTGGGTGTATGCAAGTCTTGGAGTCTATATGTCTATGTATGGGTCTCTTTACGAGTCTATGCATCTCTACATATGTATGGGTGGGTATTTTAGAAGCGGTAGTGTAGCGGTTAGCACGCTGCGCTTTGAACCGGGTGAGCCGAGTTTGATTCCCGCTCATGACCAACACCAGTGACGATTATCCAAACCGGTCCTGGGCCTCCCCCAGGTCAACTCAGCCTCAAATGAGTACCTGGTGCGGTGTGTAAACATCACCACTGGGGAGACAAAGGCGTCCGGGCGTGGTGCTGGCCACCCACACCATCGTGCGCCGTGCCGGCCCTCATAGGTGCTCGCTAACAGCACTTTCCCCAACAGTCCCTTGCAGGCTATACGGGGGATCTTTATCTTTACGGGTGGGAGTTGAGAGGATGCCTTGCATCTCACACTCTCAGCCGCGACCAGTGGGCAGGCAGCCTCAGTCGAGGGTGGTGGGGGGGTGAGGGTGGTGGGGGGGTGAGGGTGGTGGGGGGGGCACCCCCGGCGGCAGCTGTCCCCGCGCGGCACAACGCGACCGCAGCTCGCGGCCTGCAAGTGGCTGGAGGCGCCACGTGAAACAACAACAACCAGAAGAGCATCTCTGCGTGGTGGCGCTGGTGGTGGGGGCGTGGTGGCTGGTGGTGATGGTGGTGGGGTGTGGGGGGGCGAATTCCCCCCAGCTCCACCCCACCCCCACCCCCACCCCCACCCCCACCCCCACCCCCACCCCCACCCCCACCCCCACCCCCACCCCCACCCCGTCTGGAACCACGCCGCTTGCCCCCCACATTCACAGACTCCTCCGCAAGGCTTCATCCGCCCCCCCCTACCCCCCCCCCCCCCCATTGCCGATGGCGCGCAGACTAAACTACGAACAATCTATTTCTATATTGTTACCAGGTAAGGCACCGCTGGGCAGCTGGCGTGAAGTTATTTTTCAGAAGCGACCCTGCGCTCACAAATGATGGCCCAACGAAGTGGCGGCGGCTCATCATCGCGTGGACTTTTGTCGCTGCCAAATGCTCCGAACGCGTGATGATGTCGATTCGAAATGCGGAGGGGGAAAAACCGGAGGACCCGGAATAAAAAAAAATCCACGCGATCACAGGGAGAGAGAGAGAGGCACACGCCAAATGTACACAGACGTCAGGATTGGGATCGAACCCACGGCCTCCCGTATACCAGGCGAGGAAGTTAACATCTCACCACGGCAGTGCCCAGACAGATGGTCGAGAAGACAATGCACAAACACAATCCCCTCCCTTAACCCCTACAACCCGAAACCCAACTCCTGCCTTACAATTGCTGCCCTAAGCAAGAATACAATAGTTAATGTTAGTATAACGATTACATCACCACCAGGCTCCACCCCCCTCCCCCTTATCATCCTACCCGCCACCCCCCACCAGCTCCACCCACTACCCCCCACCAGTGCCCCCACCCACCCACATCACACGCAGAACGCGGAGGACGGGGGAAGAGATAAGGATTTGAAACAGTAATATCGCCCCTGTCTCTCGCGCTCTCCTGAGATAACATCGCGAATATTTTTTTTAACCCCCCCCCCCACCCCATAATCACGACCGCACCGTTCCCACGGATCTCGCGTGAGCCGCACGATGGAACCCCCCGTGGTTTAGGTCATTCGAGGATAACGATGTGATGTGTGGACAAGGAGGTCGTGGGTCCGATCCCGACCCTGACGCCTGCTGCTGCTGTACATTTGGAGTTTGCGCGTGTCTCTCTCCCTCTCCCCGTGGTCGCGTGGATTTTTCTCCGGGTCCTCCAGTTTTTTTCCCTTCCACATTTTGAATTAACATCACCACGCGTTCAAGAGCCACTTCATTGAGCTATCAAGTGTGGCCAGGTCGCTTCTGAATAAGAGCTACACAGCTCAGTGAGGCTTTACCTGGCTAAAATATAAAAAAATGTAGTATAGTAGCATAGTTAATTGCATTGTCTGCGCACGCTACAGGCAGACCAAGTGGACATGCCATTAGCCGCTTCGCGTGCTGTGAATTGGTTTCTGCAGTCGGGTTAAGGGCACAGGCGTAGCCCATTGACGAATCC